ACTCCAGCTCTAGTAGCATCATCAAATCTACTATAAACACATTTGTCACATTGGTTTGTTTTGAAACCAAAAGACAAAATCACCTCATCAAATTTTTGATGCCATTGTTTAGGCGCTTGTTTCAGCCCATACAAAGATTTGACAAGTTTACAAACCATATGCTCTTTATCGGGCATAATGAAACCTTCTAGTTGTTTCATGTAAACTTCCTCGTCAAGATCACCATTTAAAAAGGCTGTTTTTACATCCATTTGGTGAATAACCAGATTGTGGATACTTGCCAAGGCAACCAACAATCTAATAGTAGAAATACGTGCAACTGGAGCATACGTATCAAAATAGTCAATACCGACTTTTTGTCTAAAACCTTGAATGACTAACCTGGCTTTGAATTTGTCAATAGTCCCATTAACATTCATTTTCTTTTTGAAAATCCATTTGCAACCAAGAGGTTTAGAACCCGGAGGCAAATCAGAAAACACCCATGTATTGTTCTCAAGAATTGATGACATTTCATCATCAGTTGCTTCCTTCCAAAAGGCACTATCACGAGACTCCATGGCCTCTTGATAAGTCTTCAGATCATCTTCAATACTATAGCAATAAGAGTATTCAAGATTAATTTCATCCCTTGAACCTTCCACCAAGTACAGTTGGAAGTCGGATCCGAAATTTTTCGCAACTTGACCTCTTTTGCTTCTACGAATATCTTGTGGTTATTGCACGATACCACCATCTTGACTTTCTAAATTTTGCTTTTTATTAGCATCAAAAGTCAGACCCTTAGGCCTTTGAATCGATGAAAACCTCATCTCATCAAAAATTGCGTCCCGCGATTCGATAACAGTGTTAATTGAAACCCAATCATTAGGTTCTATTACATAAAACCTATATGCCTTGGAATGTTCAGCATATCCAATGAATATGCAATCAATTCCACGTTCTCCCAAAATTTTCTTTTTGGGCTCGGTAAGTTTTACAACTGCCCGACATCCCCAAACCCGAAAATAACTCAAATTCGGCTTTTTCTTGAACCAAAGTTCATATGGGACTGTTTTGTTTCTTTTATTTGGAACCCTATTTAACAAATAGCAGGCCGTTAACATGGCCTCTCCCCAGAATCCTTCACTCAATCCCGAGTAAGACAGCATCGAGTTTACCATTTCCTTTAAAACTCGATTTTTGCGTTCAGTAATGCCATTCTGTTGAGGCGTGTAAGGTGCCGTGGTCTCATGAATGATACCCACTGATTGGAAGTATATGGGATCCATATATTCACCTCCCCTATCAGTCCTGAGACATTTAACCGGAATGCCCAATTGCAATTCCACCTCGGTTTTGTATATTTTGAATTTATCTAAGGCTTCATCCTTAGAGTGCAACAAATATACATAGCAAAACCGAGTGCAGTCATCAATAAAAGTGACTACATACTTTTTATTTCCTAAAGAAGGAGTGGAATGAAAATCACACAGGTTACTGTGTACAAGTTCCAAAACAGCTGAATTTCTAGTGACACTAGGAAAGGGCTGTTTTGTCACTTTTGTAAGCATGCATGTTTTACATTTATCAGATGTCATATCAAAGGCTGGAATTAATCCATCTTTTGACATCTCATGCATCCTTCTAAAGTTGACATGACCTAATCTCACATGCCAAAGCATAGATTTATCAACATTAGAATCAGAAGATACAAATGCAGAATTCTGAACAGGTAATAATTTGTCAACAATATTCAAACGAAACATTCTATTATTTAAATATCCAAAGCCAACAAACATTCCACCCTTAGACAAAACAAACTTATCCGACTCAATAACTTGTTTAAAACCATCAGAATTCAAACAACTAGAGCTAACAAGATTCTTGCGAATCTTGGGAACAAACAAAACATCAAATAACCTAATTGTCTTTCCATAAGTAAATTCAAGACACACGACACCTAAACCACAAATAGAAATAAAAGAATCGTCTCCAATTTTCAGCACCGAGCCATCTTCAAGCGGAGTTAATGTTTCAAACATTCGTTTATCCTTGCATACATGGTTCGTTGCTCCGGAGTCGATCCACCAAGCAACATCATCATCCTGCACATAGAATGATTCAGGGATAAATGAAACATAATAAACATAATTCTGATTAGAATTATCAAAGTTAGTCAAAAACTGACCTCCTTTAACTTGGGCCGAAGACCCGTTCACTTTCTCATTGGCTCCACTGTTTCTAGCACCATTGTTGCCCAAATTCACACGGCAATCACGCTTGCAATGCCCAACTTGATTGCACCTCCAACAAACCAGATCCTTTCTCTTTTTGTTGGAGTTGCTTGGGACATGTTCCTGCTTACGTTTGCCATGTCCTTTGTGGTTCTGGTTCCTTGGTTTGTTTTCAACCATATGAACCGAGGGCTGTCCAGGTTCAACTTTTCCTTTGGGTTTTTCAGATTTGTCACTTTCCTTCGCACGAAGAGATTCTTCAATACGAATGTGACTAGCAAGTTGAACCAATGACAGTTCCTCCTTTTGATGTTTCAAGTTATGTTTGAAGTCTTTCCAGGACGGAGGCAGTTTGTCAATGATAGTGGACACAGCTATGGATTCATCCATATTCATTTTGTGCAGTTTAAACTGTCCGTATATGCCAAGGAGTTCATTGTACTGTTCAGTGACAAGCCTTGAATCTTCCATTTTATAATTATTAAAGTCACTAACCAGAAACTTCTTGCTAGAAGCATCCTCAGTAATGTATTTCAGTTCAAGGGTATCCCACAACTCCTTGGCACACAAGGCTTCACTATGGATATCAAATAAATCATCAGACACACCGTTCAGAATGTGACCTTTGCAGATGTAGTCGTCATTGTCCCACTTCTGTCTCTTTCTTGTCTCTTCAGCTGTCTCAACAACACCTTCCTCAGGCTCTGCTGGTCTTGGAGTAGTCAGCACGTATGCTGCTTTCAGAGTGGTCAGCATGAAGTGCATCTTTTTCTTCCAGCGCCTGAAATCGACGCCTTCAAACTTCTCCAACTTGGCAAACTTAGTGGTCATCTCGCGGATTGAGTCACCCATCTCCAGAAACAGTGAATATCAGTTCGAGTGTTAGGAAATTTAGGGTTTGTGATGGAGATCTGGATACCAACTTGGATCGTGATATCACTTTCCGAACTGATATTTCTACCCTATGCCTGGGTTACAAGAAATTCAGCCTAGGATAATCCAAGTGGACACTTACGTTTCTAGGCACAGAAAACGTAAGCCAATATGCTAAAGGGTTCTGTGAATGTGTGATGAAAAACGAGAGCTAATGAACGTTCCCTCTTCTGGAAAGGAAGAGTTGTTTATATATTAAACACGATTAGGGTTTCATTAGGGTTGGGCCGTCATTAGTTGCTTTGGAAGCAAGTAATATTAATCCGGATTAGGGTTACCAAAACTAACGAGTTTTGTTAGTTTTACCAGCCAGGGGCTCTGCCCCTTGGACCCCCGCTAGGGGCGCTGCCCCTAGACCCCGCCAAAGGGGCGCTGCCCCTTTGGAAACCCCGGACCCGGGGGCGCTGCCCCCGGACCCCCGACTAGTCGTCGAACCGGATTCTGATTCGATCTTATACATGCGTGCACTCCGCACAACCCCATACATATATTAGAGTACAAATCATGAAGCCCCTTAGCTCACATGTTAGTTCCAGTTACTTAAAATGACATGGTGACACTAAAATCACCAACATACACCACTCTAACCCATTTGTTGTCAAAAACCATTTCCGCACCTGGAAAGGATAACAAGTTTCATTAGTTATTTTGTAATTAACAACATTTTCAAGATTAAGATATAACCAAAGAAAAAATTGTGGGTCTTTATTTTAGAAAAGGAATATTCAAAACAATGTACTTTCATATTGATTGGCAAACAATTTGGTTCCGGTTTCAAGCAAACTTAATCAAAAGAAATTATTTTTCATGATCCGAAAACTGATCATTTGAAAACTATATATATGAACTCTTAGCGTTAACTATATATGCCAAATCAAGTAAGAAAACTATTATATAAACGTATTTTCTGCAATCCACATATGCTTTTTTGGTTTTAAAATTTTAGTATGATGTATGAAAATATTTTAAATACAATAGGACGAAAAATACTGTCATCTGAGTTGCACGATAACGGATACGGCAACGGGAAACGGATACGGAATGGAAACGGTAAATTGCAAAACTAAAAAATTCAAGATACGGATACGATAGAGATACGACAATATAAAAATATAAAAAAACATATGTATATTAAAGAAATTCCAATATATATATATATATATATATATAATATATATATATATATATTATATATATATATATATATATATATATATATATAGACGTAAAGTGTAAACTCCAAAAATATTAAATTTTTCAAAAGTAATTAATTATCAATAGTCAAATCATTTTCAAAATCCAGTTGGTCTATTGATGTAGTTGATGATGATCATTGTGTTTCTTGTTCTTTAGAAGCCGTCATAATCGATCTGATTTCTGAATTGGTGAATGGTTCGGTGATCGATTGATCATCTGATCATGAGGGATCGATGAGACAAGGCAATAGACACAGGTTGAGAGTCGATCGGTTTAGGCCTGTAGGGTAATAACGATTAGTATAGCCCATTAGCCTTTTTTGGACTTAAAAAGCCCATGCAAAACCTAAAAAAAAATGGAAACTTCACAAAAACGTTTCTTGGATACCCGATACGTCACATAAACATTTCCATGGCGTATCCGTTTCCTGGCCGTTTCAGATACGGGAACGTCACCCAAAATGGAGTTTCTGTGCATGCTTCTTAGACTGTCATAATTGTCTTAAAATTAATTACTGACCAATCCAATCTATGAGTGAGTAGCATACAACCCTTCACTTAGGGATCAGGGTAACAAGAGTCTATATATGAGTCGTGCAATATACCGAAAAAAATATATAAAACTAATAAAAGAGGAAATGATTACGTTTAAAGATCAGTATGATGGAGTTACTACATACATGTAGGGGGTACCGATTGGGTGACACGGTATCTCGATGTATTTCCCTAGTGGAGGGATATCGCAATCCATTCTTCTTTGGTGTGCTTCATACATATTTGGGGGGTTGATTGGGTGACATGTAAACACAATTTCTTTGGTATCCTTCTTCATATCGAATACGTAAACATTACCTTCATTTTGAAGGAGCAAATTTCCATTTCTCATAAAGTGCAGTATCGACCCACCCAAAAGAGAAAACGACATCGGGCCATAAGTTAACACCTTCGTCCAATCTTTATCTCCATCCATTCTCCATAACTCAATCATTTCAGAACATTGTCGGTTTGCTATATCATTTTCTTTCCCAATGAGAATGACAATACAGAAGTGGATGCATCCTCTTAGAACCATGAAACCCAAACACCTTGTCATTTGGTTTCCGAAAGAGGGCATTGCTATCTCTGTGAACTCTTCGGTCTTTGTGTGGAACCTCATAACTGAATATGACTTAATCAAAGTTCCTCGTCCTATATTGACTTGTTTTAAGAAATAGAGTTTTTCATTCAATAGAATTTGACTTGGATGCTCCCGCTTACATGCAAGTGAAGCCCAGTTGGAAGCACTTTGTTGGAAGTTCTGTGTAGACTCGACCTTTCTCCATGAGTCGGATTTTAATGAGTATATATATAAATATAAATACTAGGATAGTAGGTTACACGTAGAAGCCTGTAGTCGTCAAGAGAAGATATATAATACAACCCAAATATACCCTGTTCAATGGTCGTGTAACATTCTTTATCATGACAACCCTTATTAGACAAGTTCTTATATTCATCTGTCAAAGGATTCCATAAAAGTAGACCAGAAGATTTGTCAGAATATTGGGATTTGCCTGTGCCTACGCATAATAGTCCATGCAAAGATGTCAAAACCACCATTTTGTCAATATATGAGTAAGGTAATGGTAAACGACGACCCGCCGTTAAACCATCTTTAGGTGTTTCACAGTCGATGCCACAGAACCTTGATCTATCGGTCTTAATTAAGATGAGATGTTTGTGGTGGTTTTCATGGTCGTCGTTGGTGGTTACGTGGTGGTGCCAAAATCACCTGATTTTAGGAACAAGTACCATTTCTTGCAAACACACATAGCATTGGGTAGAGCTTTCACCGGAAGCCTTGGTAGTAGTATCTGGAAAAACAGAATCTCCTGTGGAAGATTTCTGGTGATGGTATTTCTGGGAGGGCGGAGCTCCGCCATGGCCAATCACTACTAGAAAAATTAAAAATACCTACGAAATTTTCCTACGGAAATATTCCGTCGGAAAATACCGACGGAATACCTACGGAATTCCGACGGAAAACGATGCCCTAAATTACTGACAATATTGTGACGGAATACCTACAGAATATCGACGGAAGACAAATCCGTCGGTAAATACCGACGGAATAGCTACGGAACTGACAAAAAGACTAATTTGTTTAATTTCCGTCACAAATCCGTCGCTAAATAGTAATTTATTAATTTTTTATTATTATTATTATTACTATTATTATTATTATTATTATTATTATTATTATTATTATTATTTCCGTTATTTTTATTATTATGTCCTACGGATTACCTACGGATTTTTTTATTTTCGACATTTCGGGCACCGGACGTCGTTTTTTTTCGCTTCGTTTTTTTTTTTGCATCTCTATTATAAATGATTATCTATAGTTTTCACAACTTATACCTGATACCTAGATGTTTATAGTGGCGTACTCATTTTGATCGGTTACACATTTCACACTTTAAAATTACAATCACATTAACATATGTACATATACATACGCACACATACAAATTAACATATCCATTCATATATGCCCATCGAAACATAAATTCATATATACCCATAGAAACATACATTCACACATACATTCTTAGACACACATTCACACATACACATAGATTCATATACACACATATACATACATACACATATATTCATACATAAACACATTGACCAACCTCTATGAATGTATGTGTCTATGGTTATATGTGAATGTTTGTGTAATTGTGTATGTGTATGTATGTATATGTACATATGTGTGTATGTGTGAATGTATATGAAAGGAGTAACTGTGCGAAAGGAGTAACGGATCTAAAGGTGCACGTGGTTATACACACATATTTATTAGGTATAATTTGGTGATAATATAGATAATCATGTATAATAGAGGTGCGAAAAAAACAAAGCGAAAAAAACAACGTCCGGTGTCCGAAATGTCGAAAATAAAAAAAATTTCGTAGGTAATCCGTAGGAAATTACCGACGGACAGCCCCTTCCGTAGGTAATCCGTAGGAAATTACCTACGGATTACCTACGGAAGGGGCTGTCGGTCGCTATTCCGTCGGTAATTTCCTACGGATTACCTACAATTTTTTTTTTATTTTCGACATTTCGGGCACCGGACGTTGTTTTTTTCGCTTCGTTTTTTTCGCATCTCTATTGTAAATGATTATCTATAGTTTTCCCAACTTATACCTGATACCTAGATGTTTATAGTGGCGTACTCATTTTGATCGGTTACTCCTTTCACACTTTAAAATTACAATCACATTAACATATGTACATATACATACATACATACATATACACATTGACACATACATTCACACATACATTCTTACTCCTCTTTCCCCATTTCCCTATTTTTTCCCTCCGTTCAGTGGCGCATCTTCCGGCGTGTCTCCTGACGCATCTTCCGACGTGTCTCCCGAAGCATCTTCCGGTGTATCTCCCGGCGCATCTCTCCGTTTGGTGGAACCCTCTTTGCTCGATTTCATATACACACACACATAGAGATACATAAACAGGTTGGTTGGTGGTGTTGAAGGATTGCAATGGTGGTTTGAGATAGGCGATTGTTAGTGTTGGAAGGAATGATTGTCATGGGTGGGAGTTGATGACGTGAAACGAAAATGGGAAAGGAAAAGGGGAAAGGAAAAAGGAAAAAGGAATGATTGTGCTTGCAATCATGGTTGGTTACCAAAAATGGCTTATAAAAGCCCTAGATCTCCCTAAAGAGGGATCTAACAAATGAACAAGCAAGGTATCGACTTTATACCTCCTGGGAACTGCAAATGATGCACAAACTTGAACCCCCTTGGTCTTCTCTTGATTCCTCTAGGCCCTTCCTTCTTCCTTGTGATCAAGACCACCAAGAATCACCACAAATGCCTTTAGATCTTCACACACAGTTAGGGTTTGCTATGGGGGGGTTTCTGGAAGCAATAGGGACGAAGGGTGGCTGAATGAGATGTTTAAATAGGGTGCAAACCCTTAGATTAGGGTTTTGTCCAGTCAGAGTCTACTCGTCGAGTCCGGAAGCCGACTCTGAAAGCCTAGTGCCCCAAGTGTTGCCCCAAGTATTACCTTTAGTAATTTTGTGCTTAATGATTAAGTCCTTGCCATTTTAAGCCTAGGGTTCGGGTTTTGAACCCATCTTGGTGGTTCTTGGGGGTTTGACTTCTGAAAGCCTAGTGCCCCAAGTGTTGCACCTCTAATGGAGTCACAAACACCTAATGCAACAAGATGAGTTAGGAGAGAAGGATTTTCGGCTAGGGCTTCATACAAAACTCATCGATCCGAAATCCTTATGTAGAGGGTCTATTTATAGCTGTGGCTGCTAGGGTTTTCAGGTGGAAGCCCTAATTCCTTACTTAGGCAACAAACAGACTCAAGGGGATGAGGAGGCGGTTGTATCTATGGGAGATATTCAGGTTGGAGGGCACTTGAACTATGTAGGGAGACCAGTGGCTGCAACATCATCATCATCATCATCATCATCATCATCATCATCAACACCACCACCACCATCACCATCACTATCACCATCACCATCACCATCACCATCACCATCACCATCACCATCACCATCTCCATCACCCATCACCATCACCATCACCATCACCATCGTCATCACCATCGTAGGTAATCCATCGGATGGCTCCATCGTCCCTCTCAGTCCAGAAAAGCCCTAACTCGAAACCCTAAAGCTTTTTGCGTGTTCTTGAGCCATTTTTTGGGTGTTTAAAGTTGTTTGAAGCTTGAAGAAAGAAGTGGAAGCTTGGGGTTCTTGAAGAAGCAAGTAGATCCAGAGTCTTGGTTGCATTTCCAGCTTGGCTGAGGTAAAAAGCTTCAACCTTGACTTCTCATTTGTTAGACCTTATTTAAGGCTTGAATCTTGCCATTTTTGGGCATTTCTAAGCCACCTTCGGGTTTAGAGCGTGATGTAGAGTGTTAACTTCAGATCTGGACCCATTGAGGGTTCCCATGGCATAAAGGTGCCAACTTTGTTGCTATAAGGGTCCCATGCATCATATAAACCTCATTTTAAGGCCATTTGAGCCAAATCCCCCATGCATGGACGTCAAGTTTATGACTTTACGTGTAATATGGACCCTAGGAGGTTAGATCTATGTTCTGGATGCATTAAGACCAACTGAAATCAACTGAATAGTTTTTGTAACATCCAAAAATCGAGACCCAAAATTTTTTGTTTAATTATATTACTTATAAGAATAGTTTACGGAAAACATCATTGCTATCTTTTCAAAACATCAAGTTACGAATCACAAGTCTCGATACCCATAACATCAAATAGTAAAATGTCAGAGTACAATCTCAGGGTTCTCAAAGCGGAAATCATAAGTCCCACTTTTTAGCTTATTAAGCCCAGCCTTCCTATGGCCCATCAAAGACTCCTTAAGGCCCACTAATTGCCCAATTTCTGAATTGGGCCTTATCCCCCTAAATGTGGCCAAAAAGTTCCAAGTCCAAATGTAATAATTCCAAAGGGTCTAATCTTGGCCCAATAGGCCCAATTAAGGAACACTGTTATAAGTAGGAACTGAGAAGAGTTGATCCCGGCATCGAGGACAGTTCAGACACTTTACGACATTGAGGTGAGTTACCTTCCAGTAGCGGTGGGTCTACGGCCATAATGCCGGCCCACTAGTAGGAGTTTGTTTGATAGATGATTGTCTCTGTGATAATTAACCAAGTTTGCTACTACCTGATTTGAATTACCTTCCTATACATACATATACATTCATCGTTACTCCTTTTGCACCGTTACTCCTCTCACATACCTTTCGATCTATTACTCCTTTCACCAAGTTATTACTCCTTTCACACCGTTACTCATTTCGAGATTTCAGGAACCGAATGTTGTTTTTTTCCCTTCGATTTTATCGCACCTCTACTATGCATGATTATCTACACTTTCACCAACTTATACCTAATATCTACGTGTGTAGAGCCATGTGCACCTTTTGATCCGTTACTCATTTCATGCTTTAACATTACACTCAATGCTTTTTCCCACACACGTACACATACATACACACATACACATACATACATACATAGAAACACTCATTTCAATTTTTAACATTGTAATGCCTATTAATACATCCACATACTTACATAATCATACATAGACATACATACATATACACATATACATACACACATATACATATGCACATTCAAATACATATTCAAATACACATACATGGACATACATAAACAGGTTGGTTAATGACGTTGAATGCTTGCAATGGTGGTTTTATATAGGTGGTTGGTAGTGGTGGAAGGAATAATTGTCATGGGTGGGAGTTGATCGCTAAACACTACTACTTTGAAAAAATGATTTCAATAATTTAGTATAAATTTGGGAAAATATAGATAATCATGTATAGTAGAGGTGTGAAAAAAAACGAAGCGAAAAAAAAAACGATGTTTGGTGCCCGAAATCTAGAAGATAAGGGCACCAAACGTCATTTTTTTCGCTTCGGTTTTTTCACACCTCTATTATACATGATTATTTATAGTGTTGCCAACTTATACGTAATAATAATAATAACAATAATAATAATAATGGAAATAATAATAATGGAAATAATAATAATAATAATAATAATAAAGGAAGGAAATCGGTATTCAATAAGAGAAATGAAGCAACCCTTATAAAAGGATGTGGCATGCCCGGCCAATTGGTACAGACTTTGGAATTATTCATGTTAGACGCGAGTTCGAACCCCTTTGCCTGTTTTTTTTTTTTTTTTTTCGTCCGTCACCTTTATTTCGTTTACCCGCTTCCTTTATTTTGTTTACCCGCTTCATTTGCCCCAAATATGTTTTAGGGTTCATTTTCCCTCCCGTATGATTCAAGAGTCCCACCTCCCATCTCCCACCTTTTCATTCTGTCGTAGATGGATCCAATCCCAACGCCGACCTCCTTCCATCTCGGATACGATTCAGCATCCACCATCGTTCCTTCTCACCGCCACCGCTCCACCAAACTCGGCTTGCGCTGTAAACAATCACTGGTCCACCTCGTTCACCCATGTCATTGTTGAGAATCGATTTGATATCCAGGTAAGTTTTTTTTTTTTTGGTTTAATTTCGTTTAGGTTTCGTTTTGGGTTAGGATTGATCATTTCGATCTTGGCTTTGTTTTAATTTTGGGTTCAGTTTGTGTTAACAGAGCATATGATTGAAGGGTTTCGTCTCTATCTTCATTTATCCCGATTTCTCCTCTGCTCTTTCACTACCAAGTAACAACGACGTCGACCGGCTCTCTTCGCCATTGACATCGTCGCTACATCCAAGACAGTTACGTCGTCACCTCCATCCAAAGCACCGACGCCGCCTGCCTCATTATCCCCTCCAACGACCGAGAACCCTAGCACTAACCAATGTTTACAGCCACCCACTAGCCTCAAACTCTATCACTCCATCATCAGCTGTTTGATTGATTTCCAGGTTCGTGTGATTCTTTTTTCTATGGTTTTCCTTAGATTTTATGGAATAACTCACTCCTGGTGTAGAATTTGGTTTTCTGGTGTTCGATTGAAAATAAAAAAAGAGTAAATTTTGTTCACTGCTTTTGGAAGAAATGTATGTGTGTGTTAGGATTTGATGAAGACTAACCACTTTTGTTTATTAGCTTGGTTTATTATTGGGTTTCTTCGGTTACTTGCAATTGTTGGATCTATTATATCTGGAAGGCTGTTCCTAGAGCGAATCTACCATCATGGAACTAGACTTGATTATTGCAATAATGGTAATTTCTTACCCTAGTTGAAGTTTTATAAGTAGAAGAATTGTGGATCTTTGTAATGTACAGTTGATTCCCTATGATATTAACTTTAAAGTTATATCATAGATTACCAATCCTAAACTTTTTGTTCTAATGTAGGATCACCAATAAATAGATTGAAAGTATAAATATATAAAATTAAATATCTTTTTAGTTGATAAATGATATGTATTTGAGTTAGTTGATAACGATTCGTCTTGTTAATTGTGATATTGTTCGATAGGTTTCTTGGAGCTCTCAACCAACTAACCAAATAATTATCATGCAGGTATGCCATTTCTTACCAAATGGTTGTTTATCTTTTGGGTTAAATATAAGATATAGCAACATACTTTTTAATATTTGTTTTGTGTAACATCTACTTTTTACCATATGGCTGCATACTTTTTTGGTTTAAATTCAAGATATACATGCATATTATAACATCTTACTTTATAGCGTTGTACTTTGAAAAATGTTCTCAATTATGGCTATAATAAACAAATAAACGAAAGTACATTGCTACATATATATATATATATATATATATATATATATATATATATATATATATATATATATTGTGATAATTTATTTTGGTGTGTTGAAACAGGAACACTTGGCGGCCTTTGATTCAAAACTCAAATTGAAGAACAATTGTCGGGGTTTATCGGTTAAGCTTAACTTGGTAATTTACCAAGTAATCCCCCAAATAATTCTCAGTTTTATGTTTTTAAGCACTTAGTTAAACATTTATAGTTGACACTTTTAATGTGTATTGTTAGACACATTTAGTATATTATTAGATAATGTTCATTAGTAATGCATTTGTATTTGATACTTTTTAAGGTATTAGATGATGTTTATTAGTTTTGTTGTAATGTTATTAGTTTTGTGGTTGAGTTTCAATATTATTATAAGTCTAATCTAATGAGTTTTGTCAATATATTGCAGAGAAAAAACTGGAATTTTTTGTTATTTATTGCTGTTTTTTATAAAAAAAAAAAAAAAAAGAGATTTAGTGACGGAATACCAACGGAAAATCCGTCGGTAATATGAGCCGTCGGAAATCCGTAGGTGATAAAGTGAATGTCAATTAAAGTGGGTCCCGTCGGTAACCCGTAGGTAATCCGTCGCTATAGTGTTCAGTAGGTATTCCGTAGGTAAATTACTGACGGAAAAATGTTGTCGGTATTCCGTCGCAAATCCGTCGGTAATATTTACCCACGAGCGTTTATGTTACGGCCCGTTTTCCGTCGCAATTCCGTAGGTAACACCTTATACCTACGGATTTTTCCATAGGTATTATCAGATTTTCTAGTAGTGAATATTGCTTAGTTTTGTTCGTGGGGTAGGGGTGTAATCATATATATACGTACCGAAGCAAAGATTTCAGTCAAAGTAAGCATGCACCACCAAAAAACGAAGGGTGAACAGATCTATGATTTGAGTCAAAGCACTACCAAAAAAATCGATGAAGAGGTTTCAGCGTTCAGGTATTTTCGGCCTAAAAATGTGGCAGAAAATGATGGAATAAACCAGAGTGTAGACCAAGTCGATCCATAAATTAAAACAATGTAAAAATGCAATACTAATTCCAGTGACCAAATCAAAACCTGGGATGATGAATCAAAAGTAAAATCAAAACTTGGGATGATGAATCAAAATCCACGTAAATTAAAACAAGGGTTAATGACTTAAATGGGTAAGGTATTTTGTTTTTTATGCATTATTTTTTTCACGTAGTTTAACCACTGAACTTGTTTTATCTTTATAAGAAAGGATAATATTACCTATCACAACCAAGTCTGATTTGACGCCGAAATTAAAAATGCTTTGACATCCTCAGATATTGAGCTTCAAACGAGAACTCGGTTCAACATCCCTGCCATTTTCAGTTACAGGTCATGTGTAAGTCACATCCTATTGAAAAAAAGTGGGGTTGTATCCAGTTTTATCGGTAGGAGGTGACGACAATTGTGGATTCTAAGAGTTTGGTGGTGGCGGTGATAGAAGATATGGGTTTAGAATTGCAAAAATCACCACCCACTAGCCCTCTCTATTACCGATTTTTATTTTTTTTTGGAAAATTACTTAAAAAGGTAAGAAAGTTTTAAAAATATATAAAAAAAATCGTTGTCTGTTTTTTAGTATACAAAATATTATTAAAATATATTTTTTGTACACATAATACCAACGAAGTACATATGTGTTTAAATAAAACCTTGTGGTAACCGGTTGCTACAGATAAACGAAAAAATAACTTAAAATGAAGTTTCCAAAATGTTTTAAAATTACCATTGTTTTTTAAGTACAAAAAATACCCTTAAGTATACTATTTGTACGAAGAATATCAATGAAGTACACATTTTAGTACAATAAATACTATAGAAGTTTCCAAAATGTTTAAAGAAAATACAATTGTTGTTTTTTCGGAGCAACTTTTGTTAACTTCGTTGTTTCCGTATTATATAGAATACGGTGATCGGAGATTAATCATCGTTGTACAGGTTCACACCAGTTGTGTCTCTTTCATTCCCTCACTCGATCAGTTTGTATCTAAATACAATCATAGAAAAACACATAATTAAGAATACATCAATTATGATGCAAGCATTCAAGCGCTCCAACACATATGCTTCTTTCTCTACTTTGACTACAAATTGTCATCAAATCAACCACATGATGCTGAGTGTTCCTCGTCATTCATCTCTCACTGGTCCAGGAGAATTAAACGCAATTACTCTCTACATCCATATTTAGGAATTCTCATGACATAACGTCACACTCGTTTCTCCTTTGTGTCTCTCTTGTGCCGCAACACTAATTAATGACTAACCTTGATTTATAGTATATGTATCTATATAACGAATATATGTTTTAAGTTTGAGGCATATAATGTGATCGGGAAGCAAGAATGCTTAACTAAGGTTATTACCCACTTACTTCTCATGTTACCACAAAAACGACCTGGTGAGGGAATGAAAGAGATTTAACAACTGTTATGAACTGATATGACGGTGTATGATCTGACAGTGTTTTACATAATCTGAAAACAACGCAGTTAACAAAAAATGCGGTTTTTTTGAACATTTTGAAAACTTCGTTACGCTTTAAAGTAAGTTTTCCATTTACCTAAAGTTTAACAAAGTCTAATATTTTTATAATTATATTATTTGTATGTTAAACAATCCAATTTTTGATTTTTTCTACATTCAACAATAAATAGTAAATTATAATCTATAAAAGTATGTATTTATGACCATGAAAATAATCAAATATGAAAGAAATTGATTTGTGTTTAGTTCCAAATTAGGTGGTGGTTTCCAAAATTTGCACCCCACACTTGTCTCTTTTTTGGGGACGATAGTAAAAGGTCATATATCAAATCCTGTAGCCATTTGGACAAAAAAAAACAAGTAAGTGTAATCCTCTCCTATACAATAAAATATATTTACATGAGGAGGAACATATCTACTCGTTTTATCATCTGCAAAATCTTAAGACGTTCTTCAAACCAATCATAGACTTTATTGAGATAGCTCTAGTCCCCACTTTCAAGAACTGTATATGAGAGTATGAGACTCATCTCGAACAGCTCACGCAAAACGCCCAAATACCGTTTTAAAATTTTCATATTTTGTTCCCTCGGTACAAACAGTATTTATTAAAGAACCAAAGTTATAATTACATCGCCCATAATATGCAAACTTTTTCATAAAGCTTTTGGGTGTTGTTTTGACGTCAGATCATCATCAAATCACCTACACAAAAAGCTTCTTCTTATAATTTTTTTTATAGTCTCACAATATCAATCATAATTTTCGAATAATTTAATATTAAACAATCTACTATAACTAGAATAAAATAATAAATAGTTTATAACTATATATAGTTTTCTTTAATTATAGAAGTAAAGTAAAATATACAAAACATAATTAATATATTAAGCACTAATGTATTATAATATTTAAAACTAGATTATGACCAGCGTTAAACGCGGGAAACCTAAATTAAATACATATCACATTAATAGGTGACTTTGTCTTAGGTTGAATTTTAATAAAAAAATGTTAGTTAGATTATTTTTAGAGTTTTTTTAACCAAACTTATTAGATAAAAATATTTAATATTTATATTAGAGCAATTTGGTTTTTTAATACAGTAATTTTTAACATAAATGATCTATGTGATTTTTGTTTTATCACAACAAAATGTGACTTCTTGATTAAAACATGTTGTGTAGTAGCTTTATGAATTGACTTTGTTCGGTGTACCAACACCCATGGAGGCTCATATGACTCTTTTCATATTAGCTCTGTAAAACCAAAAACAATAATAAGTTGTTACATGTACCAGCAACATTAAATTCTGCAAAGAAATTCGATAAACATTACAAATAAAGTGAATTGTCATAACCATAAACATCAAATTCAGACATTGTAATTTGGTCGATTTTAAAGTATTTTTTCCTTATAAAAATTAAACTATGATTTTTCAGGCTACACCTAATCACATATACATATCTTCCGATCAAATAAATTATTACAAAAAAAACATGTTATGAACGAAAATATAATATTAGTTTCATAATTTGCTAAAGATTAACACTAATAAATAATAATGAACTTTCACAAATCTTGCATTTTGGTCACTACATCTAACTAACAAATGAAATTCGGTTTAGAGGATTGATTCAAGAAGTGCATCCGTGACTTCTTGTAGCTGAATTTTGGGAAATGTTAAGACCTACTGAGATATGAGGGAATGGTCTGTGAGGCTACGGTTGGTTTCTATAGGTCAATACAAATTCAAAATCGTTAGCACATATCTTTCCTACATGCTTCAATTATCAAATTTAGATCAAGCTTGTCAAAATCAAATTATAAAAAAATAATAATAATAAAAATAATCAGATATGTAACCTAACAATCAAACAACATATTTTTCATTGAAATAAATATCATAAATCTACAATTTACACTTTATATATTATTCTTAAATTATATATTACCTTTTCATCTTTAATGGTCACTAACACCTCTTTTTGCCTTATTGTTGTGACACGCATCTATATCGAAAATAAGAGAAATAACTATAGAGAAGAATGTTGACAGAGTGATACTTCCTTGAAAACGCAGCAAAATTCTTCATAAAGCTGCTAGGATTCTTCTATAGACTGCTAGAAGGTCTATATAGTGACAACCGGTGTGGCATCCATGAGAACGCAACACTTAAAATAACAGTTTTGATTAATATAAGTGAAAAAATCATTTAGAATGCTTACCAGTTGTGATTGTTTCCACTTGGATGTGAACATTAACATTCTTATAGAGAAATGGAACTTCAAATGAACCCTACATAGTCAAATCAGCAAACATGACAACACAAAAAGAAGCCTAACTTGGCATATAACAAAATTTCCAACAAATTTCAAAATTTTAAGGTTTAGCTGAACAATTTTTTCAATTTATCAGAATTTTATTTTATTACAACCTTATATGAGTAATCAAGAATCTAAATCAAGTGAAAGAAGTAATTGTTCATTTAAATCTAATAAAAAATTACAATATTGTGAAATTGCATATAATTTACATGTTTGCTTCTTGTCTTGGAGGTACCCGACCACTTGGATATGTACTATTATTTGATTAATTAGTACATAAATTACATTATAGAATATGAAATTTAACGATTGTTCAAATTCATTTACACTTGATTTAACAGTAGAAAATGGACAAATTTAATGATTGCTCAAATTTAATGGTAAATGTTTACCATTGAAC